CTATAACAACCCCTCCTAACACCCTTTTACTGTCCTGTGGTTTCCCATGGTGGACAGGCTCCCTCATATAAGAAGTTACTAAAATGAATCCTGTTAACTTCAGGTGTTCCTGGAGCTCTGTGGCTGATGGGCATTGGCAGTCTTTTAAGAATATTTTCTCATTCGATCTTACAAAAACATCAATGTGTTTTGTATTACTGATAGTCTATACAATATTATAGTAATTACCATAAGAAATAGTCTATTAATTATTTTATAGGATATACAAACTTAGGGTGGTTCAGATCTTTGTCCAAAGTCACACGCTAGTAAGGGGCAACGTGTGGGTTTTAACCCAGGTAATCCAACAAAGATAATGTAGTTGAGCCAATAGTGATTAAACATCACTCTTGATTGTGTCTTAGGAGAAAATATGCCAATAGAAACATATTCCAACTCTGCTATACCAGCTGTCTGTGTTATGATGGAGGGAACTGGATGGGGAGGGGGAGGACTTAGCACTAGAAGAGATCAGACCTCTGGTCACTGATGGGTAGAGTGAACACATGACCTAAACCAGAACACCTTTGAAAGTGAAGGAGGGTAATTATAATTATTACACAACAGGTATAATCTGGGACTGTCCTAAGCAAAGCAGGTGGCATGGGGGCCTTACAGATGGGGTCACTGCAGTTGGTGCTAGAGCCCACAGTTAGGATGGTAATCTGAGTGCCAGCTCCACTGTTCCAACACTCCATGGTCAGGAAAGATGCGGACCTACGCAGGGTACAGCAGGAGCTATTTACATCCATCTGCTGTGGGACTCAGCCCTCCTGAGCAGGGGGAAGCCCAGACCTGATGCCTGCCTAGCCTGCCAGGGTCCAGGGATGGGAGAAATTTGAGGGTGGGGGGTAGAGAAAAAGTGCTATTTCTTTTTGGTTTATACTATCCATGTATTAAATAGGCCTTTTCATTTTTAAAAATAAATTTTATTTGCATATTTAAGGTTTACAACATGATGTTATAGGATTTATATATATTCTAAAATGGTTACTATAGTGAAACAAATTAACATATCCATCATCTCACATAGTTACTCATTCCCTCCCACCACCCATCCACAGCCCAGTGGCAAGAGCAGCTGTAAGCTACTCATTTAGCAAAGATCCTGAATACAATACATTATTAATAACTATAGTCCCCATATTGTACATTTGATCTTTAGACTTATTCAACCTACACATTTGCTACTTTGAATTCTTTGGCTTATATCTCCCTATTTCCTCTCCCCGACCCCAACCCTGGTATCACTATTTTATTTTCTATTTGACCTTGAAGTGCCTCAATAAAGAGAGCTTACTTTGGTCAAAATATAGAGGTGACTTACAGGAACAACAGAAGAACTGATGAAGAAACCATCTGGCAACAACTTCTAAGAGTAATTCTAAGCTTAGCTTAAAAAATAATCCTAAATTTCTGAGAAACCAAAAGCCAAACAAATTAAAAGATGAGTTTCTGCAATATTTCCAGCAAAGTGAGACACCTCATTCTTGCCTACAACTAGACTATTTCTCCCAACTCATTCCTGCATTTAAAATTCAGCAAGTAACTTTTCTGCATCATCAGATGTCCTAGTTACAAATGAATGATAGTTTAATGTCTTTCATAATTCAAAGGGCCCTTCAGAATTGTAATGTGTTGAAGAATTTTGCAATTCATGACATAGGTAGCTGGTAGAGACTTTTCATCCCATGTTGAAAGTCTGGTGTTTTATGATTTGGCTTTACTACAGGTACACAGGTTGTCTTGTTAACGACTGCACGGAAAGATGGAGCAGCGGGCATCACCTAAGTGAACTCAGATATTAATTGATATGCAAAAACAAAAAGTAAAAGTCAGAGTAACATGCTCTTTTTAAAGCCAGTTGTGTGAGCTCATAGGCTCTAGAGTGTTAGAAGAAATAGAGATAAATTACACAGTCCAACGCTGTCATTTGATAGAGGAAGAAAGGGCAGCACGGTTTGATGAGAAGAGTCACGCACCGGGACACAGCTGAGATCTGGCCGAGACAGGACCGGCTCTTACACCAACTAGCACTCAGCCCAAGATTCTTCCCACTCAGCTTCATGCTCCAGGAAGCAATTGCTCTCTGTAAGGTACTGTGTTCCCATTGTCACAGCAGAAAGTTATATACTCTAGTAATGGTATTTGGTTATTTGAATTGTGCTAAATTTCAGAATATATTCCTTAGTAAATACCAGTGTTGAGTCCCTATAATCTTATAATCCATAATTTGAAGCGATGCTATAGACAAAGGTTATTTCAGAAGGAGACCACCAGTAAAGAAAAGCGGCAATGGTTAGGGCACTTACTTTATGGCGGCTTGCAGCTTCTCACACAGGACGGTGAGTACAGAGACAACATCATCACAGAGGGACTCTACTGTTGACCCTTCAAAACAGAGGAGGTTACAGGCATGAGACATCAACAGGGGGCACGACAAGTTCCCTGAACCGTCCTTCCCATCCTCCACTTTAGATGGTTTTTGAGACTGAAAAGATGATTTTCAGATGTGGAGAAGCCCTTAGGCCACCAAAGTGATGATCACAGAAATGATAAGAATTAAGTGTAATTATTCCTTTTTTTGTTTTTTTGGAGGCAGAGTCTCACTCTGTCACCCAGGCTGGAGTGCAGTGGCACCATCTTGGCTCACTACAACCTCCGCCTCCCAAGTTCAAGCAATTCTCCTGCCTCAGCCTCCCAAGTAGCTGAGATTACAGGCAGCTGCCACCACACCCAGCTAATTTTTTGTACTTTTAGTCGAGACGGGTTTCACCATGTTGGCCAGACTAGTCTTGAACTCCTGACCTCAGGTGATTCACCCCCTCAGCCTCCCAAAGTGTTGGGATTACAGGCATGAGCCACCGCGCATGGCCTATAATTATTCTTTCTAAAGCAAGACACTCAAAAAGATAGTCCCGAAAGAAAATAATAGATTGTTTCTTATTATCAATAAAATTCACTCACACTTACCAAAGGGAAATTAGTAATTTCAAAAACATCATGACAGACAACAATTTTCTTACTATTTAGGCCAGTGGTCTATGTGTGTATTCCTTATTCTGACCCTTGAATTTCTGGGTCTTCTGAGCTGATTAGAATAGTATCCCAGAGAGAGAAAATAAGGCAGCATGCGAAAAGATGGGCTTTGGAACTAAGAAATCAGAGAAAAATGGGGCGAAATAATTTAGCCAGATCTTTACCTACTTTATTTGTTGAGCATCTGCAGGGCACATGGTCTTTGTTGATACTGAAGCAATAGTCGATGTCAGAAAAATAAAATTTCCCTCTAAATGTGCTCTAGTTTCCAGAAACTAGAACCAAAACTCCCACAGAAGCATAGTGGGAAATTTGGAATCTGTTCAACTACATGGCAAAAACTGCTGATTGTGTGAGTTTGGGCAAACTTCAGTTTTCTTCTGTCAAAAATGGGATAAATAATACTAATTTCACAGAATTGTCAGGCTACGTGAAACAGCAAGTGGAAGCATTTGTTCCCTAAAATAAAAACCTGTAAAGGTCTTTACAAATGTGGCTCTAAGTATCTGATGAATGTATAAATGAATGATGACGGTGACGTCAGGGAAGATGGAGAGAAAATGGCAAGTGTGTAAGAGAGAAAGTAAAGTTGGAGGAAGGCAGGGAAAGAGAAATAAATGGCTGTTCCTCAGAATTAAGATCTTAAATGCAGCAATAAAGAAATGATAAAACATAGTTTAAGATTAATAAAACCCACACAAGTAGTCCTTAAGCTCAATTTTAGATAAACGTTAAATGAATCCCTCTGTCAATTTTTTACTATTATATTTTTTAGAGCTATATTCTTGACCAAGAAGATGCAGACCCCCTTTTTAGTTTATAAAATCATCCCACATTAAAGTGAAGCCTTTATGAGAACACCATAGCCAAAAAGAAGAAAGGAAGATGGAACATCTTAGCGCATGTCACTGAGAGCATCCAACTGAAAAGGGCACCTTCCAGTCCATGGCCCAAGAATGTAGCATCATGGGACTGAAACAATACACTCTAGTGATGCTTTAGAATGTGACTTAAGGTGTGTCTCTTTCTCATTTCTTTCAAATACTCTTCCTCTCCTAGTTGTGGCTGGTAAGCTGTTTCTCTCCTTTTCATTCTCTCCCTTTTTTTCCCCTCCTCCTCACCTCCATCTCCTTCTCACTATTATTAACTGGCAAATATAATAGAAAAGCAGATTTTTCCAATATTTAAAAAAATTACTCAGTCTGAATTTCAATTTTTTAATCAGATATTATTTTTGCATACTTTCAGAAACTAGTATCAAACCTGTTTTTAAAAATTAAATTGCTGGTTAATTATATATGTGGACTTCTATATTTTTTTCTTTTCCTGTGGGTCAGAATGAAGGTTCCTTAACTTGATTTCAGCTGATCTTTGTCTTGTCTGCAATTGGGTTGTCTGCAAGTGGCCCTGTGAGATGACTCAACATTCTTGTCAAAAAATTGGTATTTGACAAACACAATTCTGGTGCAGTAACACTGTATGCCAATCAGGTTTCTACAATCTTCTATCCAGTTATTCTCATTTTAGCAATTAAACTTGACTTCATGGAGAATGAAGTAACTAACAAAGCCAGCCTCCAAATGAGAGGTATGTGAAGTGTTAATTTCCCTCACAGAGTTGGATCAGGAACAGGTGTGGTTGGCATAAGTGAATACAGGAACAGAAGAAAGACAGCAGCTGATTAAATAATGCCACCTAAGGCAAAGCCAAGCACAACCTCCAAGAGAATGGTAAAACAACCCCGGGAGCTCCTAGACATCTTTGTACCCCTCACTCCAAACACTCAGTAGGCATTCTCACAGCTGCTTTAAAAACTGAACTAGTACAAATCAAATGCAATACCTTGATTCCCGAATTCCTGTGGGACATCTGGGTTTTCAATTATCTAGTAAGGGAGACACACACACACAATTAGGAGATTCAGGCAAGAAAAATCCTGACTCTTTGACGCTGGGAAAATTCTAGGACACAAAATGGCTTCTGGAGCGTCCTGGGCTCAGCTACCTTGCCTGAGCACACCCCCCACCCACCAGCTCTTGAGAGCATTTCATTATTCATGGTGTTTATGAGAAAAATTATTATCTCTGGAACTGAGCTTATCAGTTCCCAAAATAATTCATTCAAGAGTGTCCACGCAAACGTGTGGACACGCCTCGTGGACACTTCCTGGAAGTTTAAACCCTTTGGTGCACTTAAACTCCCAGGATTCCAGGATGCTGGGCTGTGACCTGGGGCAATGCCTGCCTAAAGAGGTGAGTTAATTTCACACAGAGAACAACCTATTCCAAGGCTACAGCTGACGCTGTGCATGGCCCCTAATAAATACAGACTCTTGGCCATAAGCAGGATTAGGTTCCTGGACTTCAAAATAACTGGTCAGAATCTCCATCTTTGTATTTGATGGGGAGCATTTTAACCATACCGAGCCAGCTGCTCTCGGCTAGGTACATCCAGAACTATGAGGGCAGAGACAAAACCGTGAGGGAAGGGAAAATAGGAAGGAAAAGACATTTACAAATAATCAGACTTACTTCCCATTGCAGGGATAACTCAGCGACTACTGAGCAGAGACTAAGAAGGTGGCACTTTACTCTCCCTACCTCTTTGCACCAAGAGATGATAAGGAGGTATTTTCATGCCAACTAATTACCGGACATGTAACTCATCCCATGGTGCTGATTTAATTTTTAAACTTGTTACAGGCACATATTTCTACCATTCTCTGTTCATTAATTTGCAAGCTCAGCTGCTTCCACAGCAACTTTTGTGAAATGTTATGTCAGTATCTACAGCTCAGAATGGCTAAAGCCACGTTGAGAACACTTTCTGGAGGAAACACAGTTGAGTCATATTTAAGGGTAGGAGAATCCCTCCATCCTTCAGCCCCAAATATTTAAATGTAGCAACTTTACTTTTTGAAATTAGTAATTTACAACTTAACAATAGCTTAGGTTACCTAAAATAATTCAATAATAAAGCTGGATAATATGGAGGATTTGTGATGACAAAAAATCAAAATTATCATCTGTCCTGGGGTGCAACTGGGGATAAACATTAGGTTGAAGATACACATCCTGCTAGTGATTTAGGCGTTCTACATTATCTATTTTCTTTCCACTGCATTTAGCCTTCCTAATTTTGAGGTGGCCCATGATGTCTTTCCAGTTGATAACTGAAATGAGTGACTGAGGCAAGTATCTCAATCAATCGAAGTTTATTAAGACCGCTTTTGGGCACACCTGGGAAAAATGCGAGCTGTGACTGTCTGCACCTGTGGCTGTTTTTCTGAAGAGGCTTTCAGGAGGTTTTACATTTCAAGAGGTTTCTACATTTCCTTAGAGGAAGGAGGAAGGCATGTAGGGAGAAGGACAGGTAGGCAGTAACGCAAATCGTTACATGCTTATGAGATTTTACTTAGTGCCCAGTAAATCTAAATTTACATAAGGTGAATGTTTGAAGAAAAAAATGGGAGTAACAGAAGAATCAATTATGCAGATATCTCTGGGTAAACAGAAGAATGATGGATCTTGTCTTTAAAGATGGGCTTGTAATCAACATTATCAGTGTGGAATCAAACAGACTTTACTTTTAGGAGCTAGACTTAGATTGCGGATCTAAAGTTACAATAGGCATGTCCTTGTTTATGGGAGGCCAGCAAAGTTTGACTTAAGAGTGATCTGTGGGGGCAGTCATTTGGATATGCCTGAGGCCTCTTACCCTTCTGAGGTGGTCTGGCTAATGCATAACGCTAGTAGGAGCAACTTATTTGGAAGAGGGTGTTACATGACTCAGCCTCCAGGTTTAACCTTCCCGTTGGCATAAAAAATTTGGGGGTTCTGAGATTTTAAAAATTTTCTTTTACACAGTGATAGGCCGTGCTAGAAAATATGCACATCTTCCCAAGGGAATGCTCAGTGTTCCCCAGGGGAATACGTGACCTCTTCAGAGCAAACCTCTCCATTCCTACAGATGATTCCACTTTAAGAGCTTTAAAAAAATACCTAAATTCTTATGTGACAAAACTTATGTCTCCCTCCATTGGATATCACAAATGCTTCAAATACCAGCATCCTGAGAACGATGTTTACTGGGACATGGAATTACATCTCCAGGGACCACATGAATAATAGAAAGGAAATAACAGGAAACACCAATTTTCCACTTAATTTGAGATCTTGCCTCCGGTTGGGGTGAGTCCAGATGGTCCACGATGAGCAGGACCAGAAGGCCTTATTAGCCACATAATACCCAGGATGGAGACAGACAGCCTCTACAGTATCAACTGCACCTCCACAGCCATACCTTTGCCATTCTTATAGAAGAGCAGTATGAACTAAAAGATTGGGATATTTGACTTGAAACCTAATACTCTCCTACTTAAAAATTTTAAAATAAGATTAAATGAACTCATATAATTGAAAGCACTTTGAAATTACAAAGTTTGATTTAAATGTTTCATTTAAAATATTAAGATATTATTAATATAGTGTTTGGTCATATTGCCATTTAGCAAGGATGAAATATGAGTGTATATTATAAGATTTCTCAACATCTTAGATTTACGTCAATTAAAAACTTTTTCTCTTAATATGTTTTCTATTTATGTATTTTAATTTCTTTTAAACTAAATACTCCCATACTACCTATATCCAAAATCCTACTTTAAATGAAATTGTTTTTAGCAAGGGGTAAGCTAAAGTAACAAAAATATCTCAAGTTAAAACAATTTTTAATAGAAACTGGGAATTGGATACAGCAAACAGAAAAGAAAAAAAAATCAATATTTGCTTTTTTCAGATTAGTGTTGTTTTCAACACTGGCTGCCAGAGCACATATTAAGTGAGAACTTGTACTGGCAGTCAGCTAGGAGACCAGGGGTTTACTTCGGGCTCCTTCATTGATAAGCTCATTCATTTTAGATTTCAATTTCATCTTTCTGGGCTTCACCTTCTCATCTGTAAAATAAGGAAAAAAGAATTTGACTAGATCATCTCTAAGGTTCCCCTCAACTCCGTGATTTTCTAAAAATTAGAAAATATTGAAATTAAAAATTACAAATAGTTGAAGTTAAATAAGAAATCCTAATTTTTATAAAATTAATTTTGGAGATATCTGGGACTGTAACTGAGATTTTCTTTTCTTTTTTTTTTTTTTCTGAGACAGAGTTTCACTCAGTCGCCCAGGCTAGAGTGCAGTGGTGTGATCTCAGCTCACTGCAACCTCCACCTCCTGAGTTCAAGCAATTCTCCTGCCTCAGCCTCCCAAGTAGCTGGGATTACAGGTGTGCACCACCACACCCGGCTAATTTTTTGTATTTTTAGTAGAGACAGGGTTTCACTATGTTGGCCAGGATGGTCTCAAACTCCTGACCTCAGGTGATCTGCCTGCCTCAGCCTCCCAAAGTGCTGGGATTACAGGCATGAGCCACCACGCCCAGCTGTAACTGAGATTTTCTATTTGAACAAATAATGAATGTCATTTCAGAACACTCGTTGTAGATTTCAAAAGGATTTTAATCTAAATTATTACAGAGGCAGATTTTAAAACAACACAAAACACCAATTTTGAAGAGGAATCACTCTCTCATTAACATTCCCATAAGATAATACATACAAGGAGCCAATTACATTTACATTTTCCCCTGGAATGCTCATTTTAGACAATCTGTTCAAGTTCAGAGCAAAAAGCTCTAACAGGCTTTGATGGCAGAGAGAAGACAAGTTAGTTCAGTTTCACCCTGAAGGCCCCAGCAGGTGAGGGAGGCCTCCTGCCACCATCTTTTAGTTAACAAAGGGAAACATACCCAACCTCAAAGCATGTAATAAATTATACTCATTTTTCTTAATTTCAAATTTACTTCCAATATTTGTTAATGTATCACAATATTTCTAATACAAATTTTCAGTATGAGAAGTTTTAAAACAATGATTAAAAAATAAGTTTTAAAACAATAACTCAAAAAATTACAGAAACTATGAGGAAAAGCAATTCTCAAAGCTTTGGGGTGAAACAGGCAAACATCTAAAGAGCTTAATGTATACAAATAAATGTTCTTTTAAAACAAGCAGGCCCTTCCTACTGTTTTCAGGAGGCAGGCAGCCCTGGCAGGAGGGGCCCCCGGGTGTGGGATACACAGACACCACCAGGAAGGTGATGAACGTGGGGGTGTCACAGACTCACCGTATTCTCCTGCCTCTGTCGTAACTGTAAAGTCAAGTCACTCAGCATTTGACTGAGAGTTGCCCGCACAGCAGTGTTTATGCTACGCTGGTGACAGCTGCTTATGTATGTCTCAATGCATACCTGTTAAAGAAATAAGACAGCAACACACATGTCTGCAGGTATCAGCTTATTACCAACATTCTTTGGGATTAACCAGAGAGGATATCAAATCCCTCTTAGACAGAAAGTCAGCCTGATTTAGGACTGGTTATTACTAAATATAACTAAATATATTTTAAATCCCTGGAAATTTGTTTTTAAGCATATAGGAAAAATGGTATTTCCCTAAGGAACCACTCTTACCACCTGTTCCTCTGAGCATCATAGGAGAATGAAAATTAGTGATCTTTAGATGTGCCAAATAATTCTATCTAGAATCAACTCAGGTGGCTGGAAATTAATCAGAAAAAGTTCACTTGGTGATGAAATATAACAGAATTTATTAACTCCCAGGTTGTGCAGTGTGGGAAAAGGGTTAGCAAAACCCTTTCTCCTGCTCTATGAATGAGTTTGACCTTGGGTCAACCCTCTAGCTGTGTTCTTCTGGAAATTTCATAAAGGCAGGACATCAGCTGTGTTACTAGGTAGCATGGCTTATGGCAAAAATGTTTCCAAATTCCTATGCTACATCTGAATTGGGAGAACTGTGAATCAACCGTAAATATCTGGTGGGTAGCCACAGGTTTGGGCTTCCCTAGGTGTACTGACTCTTCGAATTGACACATCCTCTGCAGGAACTATGCAAACTCTGCTAATAGAGTTGTTTCAGAAATATTGGTCCTATTTGGGACACAGGGCTTCTAGACCAAGGTGACTGCACTCACCGAGATGGTTCTCATCTCCTTGCATCTATGCTGTCATTTGAGAGCCAGAGGTTCTTCTCTAGGCTGCTGTGAGGATCCCCGGCAATAACAATGCCTAACACTGTCCTGCTTCTGTTTCCTGTCCTGTGTCCTGCAAAGTGAATATAACACCAAGGGTGGCCTATTTGGATCTTGCAAGTCTCCATGTCTAGTTGAGCCTAAAAAGACCCGGTGGTGGCTACTACATGGAGAAATCTCAAATAGGAAAAAAAAATCCCTCATTTGATAATATGCTGCTAAAAGTCATGACTTTTCAGATTTTACGGCCTCTAATTCTTCTGGAAGCCACAGGGATGGGCATGAAAATGCATGCTTTAAATTTGCCTACTTTTTTTCTCTCCATAAGGTATTCAATTTTACAAAGCATATTTAGAGACACAAAAACAAAAAGAGGTATTTAATTTCCTCAATTATTTCTCTAGGAATAGCTCCAAGATTATCTACAATGAAAATCCAGGGTTCTCACCTACATGGCAAATTTAATTTGATGATTGACAACTGAGACGGGCAAGAGACTACATTTTAATCTTTGTTGCTGCTTCTGCTTAAGCTGGGGAATTTTCTGCCAGGCCTCATGTTATCTTTTTCTTTCTGACATGCCTCACTGTTTACCTAGCAGAATTAACTAGGTGAACGTAAATTTTTTTTTAAAGTTTATCTCCTACTGAATGTTAATATTTCAAAGGAGCATTTGAAACTGAAAACAGTATCTGAAAAAACAAAAAAAGGCAGTCTTCTCGACCTGGACAAAACCCAACAACTCCCAAACCTACATTTGAGAGTTGGCCTAGATTAATTCATTTCAGAGTTAAAGAGCAAAAGCAAGTTATAAAGTATTTATTTTTCATAAAAGTACTTAGGGCACACGACTTTTAATTCATTTTCTCAAATAATCATGGATATAGTGGATTTGAAGACACAATAATTTATGCATGCTTAGAAAAAAAAGGTGTTTTAGGCCAGATACGGTGACTCACACCTGTAATCCTAGCACTTTGGGAGGCTAAGGTGGCTGGATTGTTTGAGCCCAAGAGTTTGAGATCTGCCTGGGCGTAACGTGGCAAAACTCCGTCTCTACAAAAAATACACAAATTAGCCGGGCATGGTGGTGCACACCTATAGTCCCAGCTCCAAGCATGGGAGGATCACCTGGGCCTGGGAAGGTAGAGGCTGCAATGAGCCGTGATATCGTGCCACTCCAGCCTGGGTGACAGAGACCCTAACTACCCCCTGAAAGGTGTTTTAATCCTGAAATGCTTCTACTTTTGCATGTGATGAAGTGGTTTTAAAACTTTGAAAATACATCTAGAGGCCGCACTGAATCACTCTGATGAAGCCAAACTCTCCATCGTGCATCATTTGTACTTCATAATTGAACAGTTTTCTTTAAATCTTACATTTTCCCCAGAAATCTTTGTAACTGTTGATCTTTAAGATCTCTAAGCTCTGCCATTTTAAATTTATGGGGCAATTGTAAGCCTTAAAAGCATTACAGATGAAAGAGGAACTATTTTGAGAGCTGAACTACACACTTAATATAAACTCTCTTGAATACTGAGAAACAAATCACTACACAATCTCTGTTAAAAAATTACATCATTCACTTTAGACTCATGAAAGAAAGTGCACGCATGAGGAATTGGATTTTATATAACGCAGATACTGGAAAAAGTGGCATATTCGCTATGGCCACGTGAATCTATGGTCACAAAAATTGGATTTTATATAGTGCTGTAAACAGACAAGAACTTTCCAAATAGCTAATGTATTTTTTTTTTTTTTTTAGTTTTAACGCCAGCACTGTTTTTAGTATTTAGTTGCTAATACTATACATATAACACTTGGACATGACTTATTGCAGGAGGCATTTTATTCAGGGAAAAGGTAAGCATGTTTACTCAGCTAAAAAAAAAAAGTATTAATTTAAGAAGCCCATTTGGCTAAAGTTGGGAGTACAAAGACTGAATATGACAAAAGGTATCCCATTAAATATAAAATTTACCATGTATTTGATGCTATGGTTATCTATAGGTACCCAGAAAGAAATGCTTTCTCAGCTATCTTGGCATCTTCTAAAGGAAAGTTTCTTACACTTCCTGTAATAATATATTGGCAACCTACTAAGATTCATAGAACTAGAGCTTCCATTTTTAAACCTATTCATTGTATTCAAGACCAACTATTTTTAATGTTTTTCTTCCTCTACCTCAGGGCAGTACTAAATGAGCACATTGAATCAAAGCAGCTAAAAGAATACCATGTCCAAAAGCAGGCTGAGTTTCTGGGACAGAGCTCATCAGTTTCTTCTTTTATTCTGCCCATTATTGGTTCTACCTGCCCATGCTCTTCACTTTCATAAAGCAGAATCAACACTGGGAAAGCCTAAGTCCTGCACCTTTGCTAGAGGCTTAAAGGGCCAAGTCAAATACCTTGTGAAAAGCCCTATAGGGACCTGATCACAGGGAACACACAAAGATGCAGGGCAGTGAGGAGGTTATAAGGGACACTTTGTGATCATTTCACTGATTTGTAAACATCCAGCTATATAACATGCTAAACAGAACTGAGAGCAAACACAAATGGTTAATGATACAAAATAAACCCCAAAGGTAGAAGGAAAAAGAACAAGAAAACACAAGTCTGCAGGCTGTACATAAGCAATAAAAGCTTTACATCACTGAGTAAGTAGACTGATAGATAATAGTACTAGGTTAAACCCAGGGAGAAATCACTAAAGCATTTAATATGAAGCAGCACAGTGGAACACAGCATCATATATATATATATATATATATATATATATATATATATATATGCGCCAAAGGGATCACAAATATTAAAGAAGATGCCACAATAAAAATGTGCTTAGCTTTATAAAATACGTATGATCTTCACTTTGTTGAACTGTGCAATTACCTTCTCTTTCCCACCTGAATGGGGTTATTGGCACTGCTTTGTTAAAATCATGCATAATACTAATAAATTCCATAAAGAGAAGAGCTAGTATATTGTCAACTGGAAAACTTTTATAGGGATGAAAAATAATTTATGGTGATTAAAAGTAGAAAGGATCAGAGATTAAGCTATAAAAAAGCAGAAGGAATGTCCTCTATGTAGGGAAGACTATAAATGCTTCTTGAACGCATTAGTACTAGAGAAAATCTTGGCTATCACTATAAGTCTAAGTTTCATGATTAATCATGCTGACAGCTCAGTTGCCAGGCTATTCCTTATTCTCTCTTTCCTAAGACAGGTCAACAGGTAGGTATGTGGCAAGAGGCATGTCATCAAATGGGTTCTGCTGATGCCAACACACACACACACACACACACACACACATATACACGGCATGAACTGAAGTTGTTTTATTATTTCTAGGAAACAGCTGTATAAGTAAGTCCGATCACCACGTTAGGTACGGAAGTTGGCTAGTTTTCCTTTTGGATGTCAGCTCAAAAGTAAATTCTAAAAGTGCCAGGCATACCCGGAGAAATCTGATTGTGACTTGCCTCTTCCTCCTCCATGGTCTTCTTGGCTTAAGTTGGCATATTAAAATGGCTTAAGACACCTTAACCCATCAATTCATGCACCTTTCCAGGTCTACAGAAGATTGGCTGAGAACCAGTCCAAACTGAAGCAGAGACACTGGTCTGTGTGTCTTCTAACTCCAAACAACTTCTTCACAAGCCACGCAAGTAAGAGGTTTAAGGGAGGTGTGGAAATTCCTTGCCAAAGAAACAATAACTTACT